ACTGCTCCACCCCTCACTAAGAATGGCTTTTTTCCTAATGAATTCCCGGTGACTTCCTCGGTTATTTTCTTATATTTAAATGCGTCACCTCGAAAATGCATTACAATTATTCTTCACCTCGTTGCCACCCTATCTTACTATAGAATCCGCCCTTCTCATTGCCATTTAGCCTATTTGATTTATTAGCTCACGTCGATTCGCCTATTACAAATAATTGATACCAGGTGACCTGTTGACTAGTAGTTCTCTGTATTCATAAGTAGTTCGAACCTACAAGCATCAGCTGCTCTGCTTGCGGCTACTCTTGACTATATCCATGGACAACTTCGAGTTACCCTTCTGCTTACCTTTACCTTGGTGTACTCGCTTTTTATTTTCATTTTAATCCATCACTCGATCGATTTCCTTTGAACTTTATTTCCGCGAAGAGCACTATCGACAAAGACTCATGTTCAATCTTTTTGCTTTGCTTTTTGCGTAACATCTTTGCTGTACACTGGGCGACGGAAATTGGGACGATTTATTTGATGGCTGTACATGTAGAATTCGGAAGTAATAGAATATCGCCTCATCTTGAGTAGCAATGGTTAGCTTGAAATATCAACAGAGGAAGTCAATTTTTCGATTTAACTTTATCTTATTCCACTAATATGAAAATATTGCGCCGGAACCTTTCCTAAGAAGCAAGCATCATGAAGAATAAATCATCCCATAAGACTACATAAGACTCGACGTTGATTTCCAAGGCCGAATGACACTGGCTTATCGTGTTTTTTAAGATTTTGCAAGTCATTCTTATTAGAGACTTAGGATATCGGCCATAAAGTGGAGGGACCGCTGACTTTATACCTCAAGATATCCTCCTCGGTTTTTACATTATTATAATTTAACACGAACAAGACCGTACTTGATCTTGGTCTTGCCGTGGGATAACTCCTAGAGGACTATTTATGTATCTGTGTTTTTTCAAACAGGTTAGACAGGCAAAACGCACAGTAGGAGGCGAGGTGCACCAAATCTCGAGATTCAAATCGAAATGTTGCACTAGACTTAGGAGGTTGGACATGTGTATTCTCAAGAATACGCCGAGGTCAGGTGCGTTAACGAAAATCTAGCCATGATTGGTACGTATACGGGCGTAATTTCGGGTTGATAAATATATTGATGGAAGAGCAAGAATTTAGAGATCTAATGTAGGCCGCATATATTAGCACAAATAAAGCATGTTTAGTTAAGACCAAACATTACAAACAACCAGATGCTAGACGGCGCGACTAAATAATATGGTGGATTCACTGCCTCAGGAGACTGCTACACATATGACGCTCACAATACATAAGGCGCCTGGTCGCCAATTTAGACGCTCGAGTAATAAGGATAGGGTTAATAATCAGCGGCTGTCCGTGATTGATAATATAGATGGGTGGGTCGTTAAATGAGGGTAAGTCTACGTTCATCGCATTGAGGGATATCATAATATACAATGAACTCTGGAAGAAAGCAAAACATACTTGTTGACCGGATCTAGCATTTATGTAGAGGGTTATTTAAAGAAAAACTCACGTAGCATTTGTATCCAAAATAACACGTACAGAGTTTAAAATGTGCGATTTAATCTGCTTTATTAGGAAATACTTCTTCCATCATCGTACATCCATACTTTTTGATCTAAATAATTAACTTATTTTAATTCATACGTACATCGTCCATGACTTTTTCAGGATAGCTTGCCCCATACAGCTTGACATTAATAAAACAATTGGAGAGGCACACTAAACGCTCAGGATCCAGTAGAGCATTATTTCGTTGAATAAATTCCCGTCGTATTCGCCACTCAGTAGGATTCTCATGCTTCGCGCGGAGCGCACCAATCTCATGCTCGCTCAAAGTCATTGAGACAAATGATGCGGCTAAAATGAGGGAGGGACAAACCAACTCGATAATTTCCTGATTTTTCCGCGTTTGAAATATTTCGTTCACTAAAATAAAAGTAATTTCAAATGTTTCTGATATGCTAAACAATTGCCACTTTTATATGGTTTTGTAGGAGAGTTTTTAACACCAAGGTTTTTCACAAATGATAGTAGTTAATTTTATAAGATTTGATAGAACAATCAAGCGTTATTAATAATTGATGATTAGGTTCAAACTAATGCAAGGTGCATTTGTTAAGGGCGATTGGGCGCATTTAACAATATGCGTTCCAACCATATACTAGTAATGTCGTAAACATATTTAAAACAACGAAAAATAAGTGATGGAGTCGAATGCTACAATAAATAGAACTTTTATTCATTGAAAATTCGACCACAGAATGTAATATGGTAAAATACTTGGGTTTAAATTCACATCTGACCTGTGACCCAAGGCATTCGTGACAATGTGACGTAGTGGTTAGCGTTTCTAGATTTTACGCTTCACTTTCATTGTTAGAGTCCCGCTGAGAGGAAGTTGTTCATATCGAATTGAGGTCGAATTTTCAATCCATCCTGGATAGGAATATCTTTTGGGAATGCAAGGCTATATGAAATTCAATGGAAACGTTAGATTTACTCAAATAGTTGTGGGAAAATTCAAGTCTATAAACTTTGTCATATTAAATAAAATATGTATACTTTTAGTCAAGAAAAATGTCTGATAGATTGAAGAAATGCTCACGTTAGGATTACTGGCATATTTCTAGGTTCAACGTATCAAATTAACAAGAAATGGTTGTCGAAATCATCATTTTAAAGTCAGACTTTGAATCCACTTCGAAGACTTAAAAAAAATTGCATTGAAAACAATAGAATAAATGGTTTTTTGAAGATATTATTGACCTGTGTAATAATATAAATATGTAAGGGTTATTTAATAAGCCAGACTGATATAGAATTATGCTTAAGCAACTGGTCAATGGCAACTACTCTACGATTCCATTAACATGCGGATCTAGTTTGGGCTTGCAGATGCAACTACTATCCTAATAAGAAATTCCTAATATATGATAAATTATTTAGAAGTGGAAGATGATACTATGGCTTCTTCATGATAATTATCATTATATCTGCTCCGATATAACTCTTACGCTAAGTAAGGAAATGCTGGTCATATATTCTATAAAATGATTCCAATTATTTCAAAAAATCCTTAAAATAGAGACTTTTTTATAAATTAGACTACGACAACATAAATACCTTCTCGTTTTTGTAAGTAACTCCAGACCTAGCTACTACGTTTGCACAGGTCACTTTTCAACTAACCAGATAATAGAACTTTCCTTAGACATTTCGACTGCCTTGTATTTAGCTGCATCAGTTAGAGGCGCTTTCTAAAAGTCTTTATAAATTTACATCTCCGTGTTAGGAAATTTAGTTCTGACTGATGATACAGAAAAGATCTCAGCAATACGTCTGGGAAAAGGGCAAATTGACGGTATGGTGCTGAAAATTTTCATAAACACTTTGACTGAGGGCGAATTTTTTACTATTTTCCTCGGGATCTCCGTGCTGCCACTAGAAAATTGTTAAAACGTGGCCATATAAACTAATTAGACTAGCAATAATAAAACCGAATAATATGCAATATAAAGTTAAAAATAAAATAACAAGTGTACTGTTAAAATTCTTTTTTCTTATTCAACAGTTGAGCTGTAAAAAAAACCCCACGAAATACTGCAGGCACTTTTTAAAAGGTCCAAAAGTTGGTGGTACAAAATTCTGACGTACATTTTTTTAAGCTACTTTGACCTATTGCTTTCCACAAATATATTAGGAGAAAGTGTAATAACAGGATTATGCGGATAGCGGAAATCATTTGTTCGTTAATATCTGTATTATTATACAAAATTGCTTTCCACGCAAGTGTTTCATATTAACAACATCCATGTCTATTTTAGAGACATAATTACTCAAGTAATGATATTACAGGCAAGGAAAGATTATAACAGTGTAAGGAGCATTTGAGAGTACGAGCCATTGCTTGTGTTCTAGTGCTATAAGCTAATCTTGAGGGATGAGGCGATTTTGAAATTCCAAAAATAGTTAAGACCAGGGACGCTTTTTGACATATAAATAAAAAAATAATAACTAAAATGTATTCATCTAAGAAGATTATTAATAAGGGAAAGCGATGAAGGAGTGTAACACTCATAATCATTTTCGTAATAAACGAATAACGAGGATTCAGAGAGTTGATGAATTGAATTGTCTCCTAATATTATGCAATTATTAAAAGACTTCAATTTTTCAGATGCCTATACAGAGAAACCTATCAAGGGATTTTTTCTGAGCCAATTCAAATATCGATATTTTGTTATACGTCCTATCTGAATGTGTGTCTTGAAAACAAATGTTGTTCTAGCAGTGACTTCCGATATTATAACTTCGATATTGCATTAGTTATTGCTTTTTTTACTTTTTGTTGCGATAAAATAATTAATCGCTCTACTATATCAGCTAGTTCAAGGCCCCCTTGAGCTTTTAAGCTGGAAATGATGTTCTATACATTCCTCATTAATTTACAGAGTCGTTATTTTACACTAAATCTCATTTATATAAA